TCCAACTGGCAGGCTGTGCTGTACCACGCTGGGAAGCAAGTGCTGGGGACAGCTGGGGCCAGAGGGCCTTGAGCCAGGTCTGGACCAGTCAGGGGCCCTGGGCCCTGGGCCTAAATGTGGAACATGTCTTGGGCAGCCCAGCAGGGACTCTTGTCACCACAGAACTGAGACTATTTCCCAGGTCAGAACATCAACCAACTCAGCAAACCCAGAAGAGCCTGAAGGTCCTGCTTACACCCTGGCCCTGAGAACACTGACACTCAGAGGGGCAGGACCTGGCCTGAGGCCACACAAGAGCCAGGGCCAGAACCCGAGACCTCGGGTTCCCTGAGGGCATTCTGGCTTCTCTCTGTGTTGTAGGATTTCTTCCAATAGGTCTCACCTGCATACTGAAAGCACTAAGTGTTGCCTCACCCAAGTCTTGTGAGGCCTGTCTGCAGCTCCCCTATCGGACTTCCACATGTCAGTAGACTGCCAGTACACACATGAGGTACTCAGGTGAAAAGACTTTTCCAAGGTCACGGAGCAAGCTAGAATCGGATCCGATTCACACCATCCTTTATGACCAGTTCCTATGTTCTAGCTACTATGTTGAATAGCAGGAATAGAAGGGTGAGCAAAACCCATCTGGGGTTTGCCCATGCAGTGAGCAGGGCAGAATGAGGAGGCACTGACCAAGAGTGAGCCAATATGGGTTTGCTCAGAGAGCTGAGCAGTGCCCGGTGTGGCTGAGAAAGAGGGAGGTGGCTGGAGCAGGTGGGGCTAGCAGAGGTCTCAGTGCTGAGCCTAGATCCTCTCCACCTGAGAGCCATGAGAAGCCACCAGAGGGTTCGAAGAATGGGTTCCTCTAGTACCTTTGAAAGGGATTTGAGGAAGGGCAAGATTAGTTATACCAAGAGCAGAAAAACAGGGCCCTCCCTGGTGGCGCAGCGGGTTAAAGCACAGCACTAAGAAGCTAAAGCCACTTTGGCCCAGGTTCGATTCCCAGCCAGGGGGGTGGCCCACATGGTGTGGCAGACCTCTCCTGCCCTGCCCACTGCTCCCTTGGCCTGTTCTGCTCCCCACTGTCTCTGGTGAAGCCTCTCACTGGCCTACACCCCAGTTCTGTATGCATAAATAAATAAATCTTTTTTTTAAAAAAAAAAAAAAGCAGAAAAATAGTGAAGTAGCCCAAGGTAGGGAAACTGATGGAAAGGTGTCACCAAATTCAAGAGAGAAGAGAAAAGGGGATACATCTGGTGATAAGTTGGATGGGGGTGAAGGAACACGATACCACAACACTGACACCAGCCTGGGTGAAAGAAGAGTGACCCAGATGGTAACCTGATCGGGTGGTAACTGCTGAGGTGGTGACCTGAGGTAACCCAGGTGGTTACCTGAAGCAGGCCAACTTATAATGCCAGGTAGAGGAGACAGAGGTGAGAAAAGCATACAAAAGGACCAGTGGTCCTGGGCTAATGCCACTGAGAGGCCACATGAGATCCTCCTAGCCACAGGCAGGCACTCCCTGGAGGCTTTAGAGAAGCTCTATTAGTGGAGAGTGGGGTCGGGTTGGAAGCAGGTCGGTGGCTTAAATGGAAAGAAGCAGAACCACAAGGTGAGTGGAACAGGCCTGTCAGTCTGGGATATATGACTTGAGGACACTCCCTGTTACTAGAATGACTCAGGGCTGCAGAAGGGGTGAGGTGTCCTCATCTCAAACTAGGGAGTCTCCATCTTTGGACTCTCTTCAGCTCCCCTTTATTAGGCTGAATGTGTTAATGCCTTTGGGGGTGCTCTCAGGTCCAGGCTAGCACCACACACAAAGAGGAGAGTGGAACTAGGCAGAGACAAGAACCCCTCCAAGATCCCACCTCCAATTTGGGGCCAGGCATCATGTGATGGCAGAAAGCAGGCACAGCTTAGAGACCAAGCAGGGGATACCAGAAAACAGGGACAACGAAAAGCTGGCAGCTGTTTTGAAAGTATTAAGTACATATATACGCCTGCATTTTCATCTAGCCATATATACACTTAATACATGTCTCGTAGACATATATACTTAATCCATATCTTAAGCATTGAAAACACTCACCATGAGGAAAAAGGACAACTTCAGGGGAATTTCTCACACTAGGTGTAGGCTTTGTTACTGTGCATTTGGAATCAGACATATGGGGACATGGGGCCAGCATATTCTTTCTAGGGTTTAGCTTCTGAGAGTCCTGGGCCTCCCCTGGGGATTCCTGCCTGGGGCTGGGGGATGGCTCTGAAAGCCCCTTTCAGGTCCTGACAGCTGGGCCTTCTTCCCGGAAGCCTGCTTTCTGCTTTCATTTGCATCTCATTAGCACCACCCCGAGCTGGTGGCAGCGGGCGGCCAGGAGCCCAGGAGCCCAGGCTGCGGGCTCTCTCTCGCCGGTCTGGCTCCCTGCCCCCTCCCAGAGTGGATCTGGGTGCAGTCACGAGCTCCTGCCGGCGCCCCTCTGCTCTCCCCCTCCCAGCCCAGGCTCCCCACCCCTGTGTTCCCATGGCAACCGGTGCCTGAGCCTGACGCGGTGCCTGTGGAGGAGGGGGGACCTAGAGGCCGCCCAGCTCCCCACCCGGCAGCCCAGACTGGATTGGTGATAGGCAGGGCCTCAATCTCCTGAGATGATTGGCGATAATTGGTTTATGGAAATAGCTGAGGAGAGAAGGCAGCTCCCTGCCAAGCTTGCTCTCTGCCACCTGTCCTTCCACGCCACAAAATAGAGTTGGGGGAGGGGAGGACCAAGGCTGGGTTGGCACCAATGGGCTTTGGAGACAAGCAAGTGTTACACCTGTTGGCCTCTAGCATCCTATCTCCCTTTCACCACGTGGGGTGTGAGGACCGTTGTCATAGTTACCGGGTGCTTGCCTGCCCCCTAAGTCTGTGTTCAGGTCCACATCGGCCGGCCGTTGTTGGGGAAATGGAGGAGGCCTATTCTCTAGGAGCCCCAGTTTGGGGGAGCAAGGGACAGAACGTGACTTAATTTCTATAAAGTATGTGAGACCAGTGCTCTGGGGCTCCAGAGTCGGGGATGTCAGCTCTCGTGGTTGCCTGGAGGTGTCCTGTTAGCCCCTAGGCCCCTCTGTCTGGGTCTCAGACTCACCCTGGGCCCAGAAAGGAGGGCAGGCAGATAGCATTCCTGGTGCGAGCTCCTGGAACTGGCTGAAACTAGACCCTGATATCAGCTCCTGACTCATGACCGAGACATCTGTTCTTAGAAACCCGTCCGTGAGTGCTGTGAAGCTTGTTACTCTTTGAATTTGCACCGGCTATGACGTATGTAACGGCCGACAAGGGCCTATATATTCTCTGACAATCCTATGGTCTGGGTCTTGCTCTCCCTGTGTGACCCGCATGCCTGCAGGGGGCTTGACCCCAGCTAGCTGGCTTAATAAACTCTGCTTGCTTGTGCATCTCTGGTCCTGTTCTTTGTTGCGGGGGACAACTGGATGATTTCGGACCCTAACAGTCCGAGGACACAGCTCTGAAGGTGGGATGTCAGTCAGAATTGGGGAGAGCACTAGGCGTGGGGGCACTCTCCAAAAGGAAATGTGGGTGAAAGCCTGGACACGGGCACTGATGGCACTCAGTGCTGGTCAGTGGAGGGGGTGGTGTCAGTTAGCATGGGGCGGCCCTTGTTCCACGCCTATACAAGAGTTAGAGATGGCCAGCTGTGGGAGCAGCTACTACACAGTGCTTATGGTCAAGACCCAGGAAATGTCCAGCACCCGCATGGGTGGCTGGCTGTACCAATTCTGACGCCCTTCTGGCAGCATCGAGAGCCACGCAGTGGGCAGCCGGCATGGCACGGCAGCTTCCCTTAGACGTGCAGCTGTGAGATGTGCATACCTGACTGCAACTAGCTGGAGGAGGGAGATGGGGTGCATTGAACTAGAATGAGGGCAGCCCCATTAGAGAAATAACCAGAGAAATGGGGGGACCAAGGAGGAGGGCAGTCACGAGGCCCCGATCCCGGGACCTGATGTGGTGGGATTGTAACTGGGTGGTCCCTAGGAAAAGGGGAAGTTCCAGGTTCCCTGCCCCACCCAGAAGGAGGGTGGAGCTGGGCAGAGAAAAAGGAGAGAAGAGAAGGAGGGGAGAAGAAAAGAAGGAAGCTGGATGGAGAACAAGTAGGAGACCTGAGGAAGCCACATGGAGCAGCAAGCGTGTGAAAAATAAACCGTGCTTGTTTCCTGGCCCTGGACTGGTTAAGGCAGATAGATGTGGGTGAGATACCTGTAGGGAGGTGACTATGGCAGTGTTTATGTTGATTTTGATGTTGCTCTTTTCCTCCCAGATTTGTCTGGCCATTTCTGACCCTTTTCCATGGGTCCCGGCCAAAAGGTGCTTTAGTCTTGTGGCAGCTTTCAGGCCTTGCTTTGGACCAATCCCTTCTGGGTTGACATTTGCCCACGAGGGGATGGGTAACTTCAGGTGTTTGATTTAGAAGTTATATTCTTTGTGTTCCGTATTGTATATTTACTGTATTAAAATCCATTTTCATTAACATTTTATATGTTTTGTCTTGTTGTGGCGGATGGCAGAACCCACTTAGAGCAGACAGGTTTGGGGCTTCAGGGGTGCCCCTCTCTCCCTGTCCTGTAACAGATTTGCTGTCCTATAACAGGATGACCAGGAGAGGCAGACCCCAGCTCTTCTCCTTCCTTTGAGCACACCTCCACAGGAGCCCAGGCCAGGCCTCTGCATCCAGGGGTTCTTCCCCCTGAGGAATGGCCACGACCTCCCCAGCTGGATGTAGGCTCCTGGGGTGGCTTTTCCCTCCTCCCTCAGCTCAGGTGAGCAGCTTCCAGGCAGCAGGGAAGATGGCAGGCCTTGCAGCTCCAGAGCCCACAGGTCCTTGTGTGATTCCCACTTGGTTTTCCCCTCCGGGTGTCACAGCTCCAATTCTAAACCTTTGGGTGCTCAGACTCTAAATATCCACAGTATGGTTTCTGCTCTGGCCCACACATCCCCTGCCCCACCCCCTGTTACTTACACTATCACGTAGGGCCAAGGCTCTGAGCCATCTTTGCAGGCAGGGAGGTTGGTGGCCCCATGGAGAGTGAGCATGATGGTCTCCTTACTAGAGGGAGACAGGTGTTCAGTGTTAAGGTCTACGCTCTGCTGGGGGGTGTCCGAGAGAGGCTCCGGGCTCTCGATGACCTGTGGAGAAAGTCAGGCTGAGCGACCTTTCCCAATGTGGTCACCTCCTTCACTGCCACGTCCCTCACGTGGCTGTTCCCTCTATCACCCCCCACACAGTCTGGAACTACAGGGAAACTCATCTTTAACCCCATTTTATCCCTACTTTTGTCCCACACCCCCGCATCTCGTTGTCCCTCTCTTGCCTCGCCCCCAGCTCTGGATTCATCAATTCTGGCAGAATGACACAGGCCACCTCACCTTTTACAGACACTTGCCTGTCAGTCCTAAATCCCACTTTTCCTTGGGGCCTTGGGAACTGACCCTCCTCCATCTCTCCTGTAGTCTCATCTCAGTCCACCTGCCACCTGGCTCCTGAGCACAGCACTTGATAGTTTACAAAGTTTTCCCACCCCATGGGTCCTCACGCACAGCACATGGAGGTGAACGAAAATGTCTGTCTAGATGCCTCATCCATCTTCCACCCAGAAAGCCAGGCAGGAGAGGGGTCTGCTGCCCACAGGGCTCCCCAGATTGGTTGCCCAAAGGACCCCGGTGCAAAGAGCTGCGCTGGAGACAGAAGCCAGGCCAGTCAGGGCAGGCAACTGGGAAGAGGTTTGAAAGGGTTGGGAGAACATGCGGGGTGAGGCCTGGAGGACCAGCCAGAGGGGGAATACCGGAGTCAGACACAAAGGGGGAAGGGAACGGAGATTCTTGGGGCCGGGACAGACGGGCTGATTTTGGAGGCCCTTCGTGGTGAGCAAATGCATGTGGGACTGGGGACATGGGGGACATGCTGGGTCTTGGGGTACCCTGGCCTCACCCTGCCCTGGCTGCTCCATTCGTAATAGCTGGAGTTGGTAGATGACCCAGATGAGCACTTGCTTGTCTCGCCTGCTGACTAACTGGTGCCAGCTGATGGGGGACCCCCCACACCTTCCTGCAGTCTAGGCAGGGTACATGGAGACCCACAAGCACCATGTCCTGTTAAACAGGGGGAGATGGAGGGGCTGGGGCTGACCTGACTGGAGCCCACTCTGCTCCTCATGTGCAGGCCCAGGTGTCCCACTCTCTCTCTACACCACCTTGGGGGTCCTGCAGGGTGGCTCCAGGACATCTCAGCTACCAGAAAAGAGAAGGATTTGGGGGCTCCAGGCCAGTTACTTCATACAATTCTCAGCACAAGTTCGATGACCACGAAGGCAGCCCCATGCTTTTCTGACCTTTCGCACAGCCGCCAGCTCTCCCTCCAAACTGCACCCATACTCTGACTCCCATCACCCTGTGCACGGCGAGCACCCAAGTCCCACACACAAATCTGTCAGACCAGATGGAGCGCTCTGCTCAAAACCCCATGTGGCTCCCTGTCTCAGGCGGAGCCTCCCACCGCCTGTAAGGACAGATGCTCTCAACCCCAGGAAGCCCACCTCTCCTTGACCCCACACCCTGCTCACTTCTCCAGGCTGGCCTCCGCTGTTTCCACAAACACACATAGGCTGGCTCTGCCACCCAGCCTTCGCCCAGGGTCCCCTCCACCTGCACAGTCTTCCCTGCTCCTCCCATAGGTCTGTTACTCCAGGCCTATGACTGGCTCCCCCACTTCCTTCAGGTCTGAGCTGCTACCTGATAAGGCCTTCCTGGTACAGGCTGTGGTCACTGCCTGACCAGAATGGTTCATTAGGATGTGAGAACACCCCCAGGCCTGGCCTCAGAGTGCCAGCCCTACTGAGACCCCTCCCCCTTTCTCAGGACCTCGCTCCCTCAACTCCCAAGGACCCAGCAGGGCATACCATCATCTGCAGAGGTGTTGACAGTTACCCCTCACTCTTCACCCATGCCAGGTCTCCGTGGGAGGAGGCAGAGGGAGGTCAACTCTCAGTCATAGCTGTGAGTGGCTGATGCCCCTTTCCCATAGAGCTGCCTTCCAAATGTCCCACCCTTGCTGCACATCCCATAATACACCTCACTCCCCAGCAGGTCGGGCTCCTGGCTCAGTGATCTGGGAACAAGAACAGCCGTGACACAAGAGACCCGGGTCGGTCCGCTCTACCTCCAGCTCTCTGCGGGCCTCTCTGAACCTCTATTTCCCCACCTGGCAAGCAGAGCTCTCTGGAGTGCCTGTAATTCAGTCTTCTCAGTAATCGGATAAAGGTTCCTGCAGGGAATTGTTAGGAGAGGTGACAAGTGTCTCTCTCACCCCAGATTCTCCACAACTGCCTGAAATGGTATCCCCTCATAGCTGTGAGGGTGCAAGGCCTGTTAGGTGCCTCTCAGAGCCCCAGAGTGAGGGCCCAAGAGCTCTCAGTGACTCCCCGGCAGCCCCAGAGCAACCCAGGCACCCTGCAGACCAATCCCATGAGTAGTCCCCTTCAACCGCCTCTCTCCTTTACCCCGTGTGCCTTCCAGTCTAAAACAGTCTAAAATAAAACTTGCTGGGGGCTGCAAGAACCTTCCAGTTTCACTTGTGGGCATGAGGCCAGCTGCCAGGCTGGCAACTCCTTGCGAAGCCTGCAGGCATGTGCCCGCTGGGTAGGCCGGCCCAGGGCCAGGGAGGCCTGGGGCCAAGTGGGAGGGGACACCACATGGGCCAGGGTCTCCAGCTGGCTGCTTCCCCTCTTTCTCCCTCCATCTGGATGGGAATCTGCAGGCTTCCCTCATGCAACTCAAACATGCTTAGCCAATGTCCACCGCTCACCCCATCCTATCAGGGAACTGAACATATTGGGATCCATGTGGGTGATGGCAACACCCCCCCCCCCAAGTATCAAGTCCACAAACCCACCTGTGGGGGTGAATGGGACCCCAGGAGGAATTTAAATCCCCTAAATGTCTCCCTGTAGGCTGGGAACTTGGCTAACACACCTAACACCACTAGGGTGCAGAGATGCAATGTTTGCAGGCAGGGGGCTGCCGGTGGCCCGAAGGGCTAAGGAGGTGATCTGAAGCTTGTTTGGTCCCTGAGCACAGCATGCTCAGCTGCTCTCCTGGGCTGGCAGATGGCAGGCTCAGAGGTTGCTAATTCCAGTGCCTTACCCATCCCGACAGTTCGCCTGCCCTCAACAAGGCAGGATTAGCAGCAGATGTCCCAAGGGACCTGCGACTGCCTACTACTCAGGACAGGGATGTGTGTGTGATGGGGGCAGGGAGGCTAGAGTAGCAGTGAAGGACTTAATGGCCCATTTGTTTCCGCTCCCAGGGGTGGGGGATTAAAGTGTCTAGGAGAGAGCTCCTTTACCTCTCCAGACCTCTCTTCCTCTCTTCCGGCATCCCAGCACCCTGGGAGGCTGTGGGAAGTCCACCCTCCAGAGCCAGGTGCCAGGGAGCAGGGCTGAGGTGGAAGGCACAGGGCCTGGCTGCCCCTGGGGAGCCATTTGGGGACACTATTAGACTCCAGCGGGCCTTAGTTTCCCCAGCTATATTGTAAAGGCATTGAGTTAAAAATGGTCTCATGTTCCTTCTAGATTCTGAAGTTGCCTGGGAGCTTGATGGGCCATAGAAGGCCATTTTCGAGGAGAGGAAACAGGTTCAGAGATGTCAATCTTTGCACCGAAGTGCACAGCTCAGGAGAGAGCTAGCAGGGGCCACATGTGTCTGCCTCCCCCTTCTCCTGTCTGCTCCAACCAGAGTTCTTTGCAATGAGGTGCTTTTTCTGGGCATCAGTGCATATAACTCCTTGGGCTCACAACCCAAATTCTGCGGCACTTGTTGGTATTAGCAACAGGAAGCTTTCATACAGTGATATAGCTGTGAGGGTGCAGAGCCTGTTATGAGCCTCTCAGAGCCCCAGAGTGAGGGCCCAAGGGCTCTCAGTGACTCCCTGGCAGCCCCGAGTGACCCAGGCACATGCAGACATATCCCATGAGTATTGGAGAAGCTTTTGGAGAAGGAGAAGCTTTTCAAATGATGACGCCAAAGTCATCATAGAAAGAATTGATAGATTTTGATGACATTTAAAAATCCATATCAATTTCTCTAGTGATTCAAAATTCATCACAAAGCAAAGCAAAGACAAACAGGAGAAAATATTTGCAATGTATAAGAAAGAATTCACTAGTCCACAAAGAATACTGAAATCTATAAACATCACTGTAACAAAAGACCTCAGTGGAGAATTGCAAAAGAAGAAATACAAATAGGTGAATACTAGAGGCACATTATGAACATCCTTTAGAGGAGTTTTAACCAGCGATTAATTCCTAAAGCTACAATCAAATGAAACAAATGTGGTTGCTCCTCAGGGTTCCCAGGGACAATCCCTGGAACCCCAATCCAACTTGGGTGGGCAGGTGGGAACAAGCTTCAGGAACTGGCTGGCGCCTAGTCTCGGTATTCCACAAGGCTTAGGGGGTGGGGGGGTGGGGGTGGAAGTAAGGGTAGAGGACACCAGGAACAGGACCCTAAAGCCAAAGGGAATAAAAGTAAAAACCGCACTGGGACCTGGGCGGCCTAACTACTTAATTATTTGACCTAGAAGGTGTTCCCAAGTTGGACAGCCCTGTGTGCCTTGTTCTTATCTCTTCCCACCATCCCTGATACTAAGCCACACAGCAGAGGGCCAGGGCTCAGCTGGGCCGGTCAGTGGAAGGCAAGGGAGCCCTAACACTGTGCTGTTGGCCGGCCTCTCATTGCACTGAGCTTCCAGGCCTGAGCTGCTGGGTCACAGCTTTTCATTAAGCCCTTGGGGGCAGACACCATTCTGAGTGTGAAGGAGACAGCCAGTGTGAAGGAGACAGCCCTGATCAAAAAGACAAAACCCGCTTCTGGGGAGGGCGGGGGCTGAGGCATTGTGGCCCAGGGCAGGGGGCTGGGCCAAGACTGGGAGATGCCACAGGGCATCTTCCTGGCAAGTGAAGCAGCCTAAGAATCCCTCGGAAGGTGGTGGGGGTGGGCCACGTCAGTGGGTTCCCTGAGCCTCTGATCGGAACCACAGATTCCAGCCCTAGGAGTGCGACACCCAGTTTCAGCCACATTTTCTCTCCAGGTCACAGGGTGAGGCAGAGCAATCAAGCCAAGGTAGTAGACACCACGAGTGGGCCGCATTTCAGATCCCAGGTGGCCCCACCACGAGGACATCGTACCTGCAGGAGCCACAAGGCCCACTTCACTCCCCCTACCCACCCCCACGCCCCCGGCCACTGAAGAACCAACAGAAAAGGGCTGTGAAGAAGCGCTCTGGCAGCGGCGTGGCCACGCCCCCAGGCCTCACCTGTTTCTGTTTCCGTCCCATCCTCTCCAGGGCAGGAGTATCTGGCCTGCCTAATGGTGCCAGGGACCAGGGCCTGGTAGTGGTGGGTGATCTTGCAGCAGTCTTGCCCAGACAAAAAGCCTAGGCACCTTTGGGGTGGTGAAAAGTACAGTGTCAGTGTGGTCTGGTGAGGGACCACACATCAGCCCCCGGCCCTGGGCAGGGAAAGGAAGGTGGGCCGGGGAGAAGGGGTCTAGAGTTTTCTTAGCAGCCAGACATCCCATGAATGGAGGTGCTGTGGGGGTTCTGGGCCATGGCTAGCTGAGTCAGCAGCTGGACCACTGGCTCCTGACACCCCCAGGAAGGTAGAGACAGGGGTGGCCCCCTTTCTGCCCAGACCTGGGAAAACTGCACTTTCCCCCCCAGCTGGATCACCTAGGCAACTGTGTGTGACCTCACAGGGCAGGGCAGGGGCCACGGAGCCCTCTCCCCTGTTCCTGGAGTTGGGTCCTGCCTGGGGCTAACTCCAGTCCTCCTTCCCACTCTTGGCACCCCAAAGAGCCCCTCACCTAAGATCACTCACTACGCTGTGCGTCCAGCCCTGTACTCGTCACACCACAGAGAAGGAGGCCAACCAGACACTGGCCCAAAGGGACCTGCGACTTGTCACCACCCTGTCCCTTTGGGTGCCCACAGTCTTTCCTTTGGATAATGATGATAATTACACAACTTGAGAACATGATTTCTTCTTGGCGGGTGGGTGGGAAGATAGGGGGAAGAAAGGAGAAAGAACACATAAGCACCCACCTTGCTGGTAACCCTGTCTTTTAGATTGGGTGGTCCGTTACTTTATTATTCTATTCTATTATTACATTATTGAAAATAAATAACAAAGAAAGTGCCATTTATGGGTCAACATGGCTCTAGGGTAGGGACCAAAGATGATGATTAATCCAATCCTGAATTCTCAAGGTGTGTTACAACAACAGTGCTGTTTAATGAGCTTGTCCCCCACACCTGGCAAGGTCCTAAGTGCTTTTCTCCACAGTGAGGTGGCCCTTAGCCTGGACAGGGGTGAGGGGGTCAGCTGAACTCAGCAGAGGCGAGCTGAACTCAGTTGACAAGTGGGGTTGACAAGTGTCTGGGAGACTTTCCTCATAGGGGTTTTCTGAGAGTAGCTGTTTTGAGCTCCATTTCAGGGGTCTCCCCCTGCCTTCGGAAGCAGCAGGAGGCAATATTTGCAGAGGTCCCCCAGTTTCTTATCCAGCCTTTTTTCCAGAGAGATCGGGGAGAAGAGTTTCTTCCCAATTTTAAGACCAAAGAAACAAAGCCTCATCTTTGATGAGTAAAAGGAACAGCCAAAGTCACCCAGAGAACTGAGGATGAAGCAGGAGTCTACTCCTAGTTTTCTACCCGTCCAGACCTGTCAAGGCTGGTGCCCCTGGCTGCTGGCCAACACTGTCACCTGCATGCATGGAGAGGGTCTCAGGAGATGCCCGCCCCCCAGTTTCCCCAGAGTGTGCCCCCTCTTAGCCCTGGGGGCTGAGGCACAAGCTGAGTTGAGGACCAATGCTGCCCCCATGCCAACAGGCCCTCTTCGCCCTCAGTTCAGGGCTGAGAAGCGGCAAGGAGCTTAGGGACCAAAAGTGGAGGCTCCAGGGTGTCAGGGTGCTCTGGCCACCACGTGCCTCCTGAGGTCCTGCACCTAGCCACCTTGTGCCCTTGAAGTGGCACCAGCCACCTGCTCTCACCCAGATCCTAACACCTCAGCTTCCCACTGCCTGTGCCTGTCTGCCTGGAAGGAAGTTAATGCGACTGGAAGCCTGTTCCAGCTGTCTGGCTCCAGGGGCCTAACCTCAGCAGTCAGGGGAGGAGGCCTTCCCACTAATTCACTGGCTGCCAGCTCCTTCAGTCAAGGATTCCTGGGCTACTCAGTCCTGGGCTACGGGAACCTTCCCCCCAGAGCAGCTTCCTTGCCAGTGGGAGGGCCATCAACCTAGGGTGGCTGTCCCACTCACTAGTATAAATCGCAACTAACCTACCTGCTTCCCAGCTACTCTACCGGCATCTTAGCTCCCCCACACCCCCGAGCTATGCCAGCTGCTGTCGGCTGTTCTACCCTTCTGAGTCCATTTCCCCTAGTCAAAGGAAATGAGCCTGTTCCCCCAAACGCCCAGGGAAATCTTTTGCTCCTTTGCCCAGAAGCCAGCCCCAAGTTTTGGTGACTCCAATCCTAGAGTGAGAAGCAGGTATTGACTGTTCTCCCAGCTAATAGGTGAGGCTCCTCTCCAAATCCCCCTTGCCCCAGGGAGGACACTGGAGCTGCATCTTTGGGGCCAGAGATTAAACACCGCTGTTAGCCGCTAGGAATCCACAGTTGTGGAGGGCAAGCCACTGGGCTGGGCCTGGGGCTGGCTCTGGGGGAAGAAGCGGCCTGCTTCCTCTCTGGTTTTGGACTGGACTTGCTGGGCAGCAGGGAGAGTCTGGACAGGTGTGAGGCTCATAGCTGTCCACCCTCCCTCAGGCCATGACTTGGGACCTAGCTTCTAGGGAGACAGCCTTTTGGACCTAACTATCCAGGCACTAAGTGCCAGGTAAGTGGGTGTCCCTGACTCCCCAGCGATGGCCTTCCGTCCCCCTTGGACATGCCTCCCACTGCCCTTGCACCCCTGTACTCTCCTAGCAACACTACACCCACCATTTTCTCTTCATTTCCTTTGGGCATCTCAAGCAGGCTTCTGGAGAAGGAAAGTGACAACAAGGTGAGAAACATAGTGTGATTTTTTTAGCCAATGGCAGTTGACAGCTGTGTGATTTTGGGTTTAATACTAACCCTCTCTGAGCTTTGTTTCCTTAGGCACTGGGGAAATCAGGGTTGCTATGAAAACTGAATGAGACACTACAGGCAAAGCACTTAGCCCTGATATTCAGTTAAGTGCTCCAAAATGGCTTGTACTTTCCTCCTGCTAAACAATCTCAGACTTGGCAGGCTCCCCACCCCCCAGCACAAATGGCCCCTCTGCCTGGTCTCCTTCCTCCCTCAGATCCTCCCATCCCAAAGAAGCATCCCTAGGACTAGACGGTGCTTGCCCAGAGTTCAAACTGGTGAATGGGCAAGAGGGGCTACCTCAATGGGTTCTGGTGTGTTGGGTTTATGGGGGGGGCAGAGGGACCTGGGGAGCCCCTCCCAGTTTCTGGGGTCGGCTGGTCCCTCTCCACAGACAGTCCTTCCCCTTCAACTGTCCTCCAGGCTGGGCTCTTGTTCCACTTGCCCCCTCAGGGCTGTGAAGGCTCTCCTTACTTGCAAAGCCCCAGGGTCCTGCACGCTCCCTCTTGCTTTCTCTAAACATCACATCCGTTTTGCATGTAGTCCCTCTACTAAGTTCCCCTCAAATGACTGGACTGGAACATTTTCTTCCTACTATTTGATGCACGGCTGCTTGACAGCCTCTGTGCTCTCCCCTGATTCAGCCTGGCACCACCACTGGCATCCCGCCACCCACACAACCATCCCACAGACATTTAGTGGGCACTTACTCCGTGCCCGGCGCTGAGTGCTAACCAGAGCATTCCTGCACTGTCCAACTTGACCCTCATATGCAAGCTCCCAGGCTCCACTGTCACTGCCCCACTTTTAAAGATGAGGCAGCAAATGCTCCGAGAAATAAAGGTACTTGACCACACAGCTTCAAAACAGTGGAGCTGGGATTTGAGTCCAGTCCCGCTGGCTCTCCAGCCTGGGATCACAGCCATGGACGTATAACTGCCTTTTCCTATAACTAGAGGGAAGAAGCCACATCCCTCCTTCCTTCGATCCTGAAACTGGGCAACAGGAGAAAGGTCAAGTACAGATCCAAACACCTGGCCCTTTGAAAGAGGCCAGACAGATGGCTCTGTGACAGAGCAGACCACAGATGTGGATTGATGCTGAAGAAGAGTGAGGTAGCGCATCCTGGAGGCACAGCAGGAGCCAGGTAGAGCTCTGTCTAGAGGCCACTTCCATCTGGCACAAATAGGTGGCAGGGTCATGACCACTGAGACTGCGGGTCACAGTGCCCTTGGCCCTGACTAGGATTAGTAATGGGAGCTTGCTGGAATTCCAGCCCAGCCCCTAAGATGCTGCTGCCTGCTGGCCCAGTGGGCCTCCGTGGGGTCCTGGAGCCAGCAGAGGCTGCCCTCTGACCTTCTCCTAGCCTCTGACTTGCGGAGATGACCTGGGTCAGCTCCATCAATGGCTCCTGGGCTGAATGTGTGCGCCTACACATTTGTCACAACTTCACTTGATATCCCGACCCTATTCACACCATATTCTGGTGGACTCTGGTACCTGGCATTGACCTTCCCGGCCCGGCACCGCCACAGGGCAGGAGTTGCAGGGCTGAAAAGCACCATGGCTTGGAATCCTCCAGGTCCTGCTTTAACCCCATGACAACTTGAGCGTCGCTTCCTCACCTACAAAGCAGCAAGAATAATCCTACCATGCAGGCGTGGTGAGGATCAGGTGTGGAATGGATTCCCAGCATAGGGAAAGATGCCCCCAAATAAGCCTCCCTCACATTTGTGCCAGCTGATGCCTATACAGAACCCTCCATGACTCCAGTTTTGGCAAAATGAGACTTGGGGTGATTGTCAGCAGGGGCTCTGTGCCTGCTTGGAACCCTCCAAGCACCACCGCATCCATCTGCTCAGCAGGCTTGTTACTGAAGCACACGTTACTGTGGGGTCCTCTCAAAGTCTGGTGTGGGGCGGCCTGGGTCCCAGTGTCATGTCATGAATCACTGCTAAAGATACAACGTGACTTATGAGCGCTTTTCTTCTGAAAAATCAATAACTCGTTAACAAGGGACTGAATAAAGGGGTAAGCAGTGAAGGCCACTGGCCATTCCCTTCCCTCAGGAGGGGGCTGAAGTGGGATACCACAGGGGAGGAGAGTGAGGGGTCCTTGCACAGGGCAGAGAGGCCTGGAGGGGGCGGTAGGCTCAACCAATTCCCTGGCCTGATTCTTCTAGCCCACAAATCTGACCGAATCCCTCCTCTGCTTCAGTGAAACCTTTGGCAGGAGCCCGTGGGTCTTCAGCAGAGAACTCTCTCAGGAGAGCCCTGCAGATCTCAGGGCATCCTTGCCTCACACCCTCACTCCAGGCACACTACTGTGCCTGTGGTGCCCTGAATGGGCTCTGTTCTCTCCATTCTTCATAGATGCTCTTTTCTCTGCCTGGATTACCCTCCTCCCTCTGGCACCCTAAATAATTCATGGTGTTCTTCAACACCCAGAGGAACAACTTCTAGCAAATCTTCCTGAAACCTTCCTCCAGCATCCCCATCCCCACCCAGAAGATCAGACCACAGCCCCTGGTCCTCCCCCCCCAAGCTCCCCTGGCTCATGTCCCATCACTGACTTCTGGGAGAGGGTTGTCTCCTCTGAGGGCTGGGACCATGACCCCGAGGGCCAGCCTGTTGCTCAGCACAGAGGTGGTGCCAGGTGCATGTTCATTCAGTGAATGAACTGGCTCCATCTTGCTTTCCCTAAACATCCTCTGCCCTGTGAGTCCCCAGATGCCTACCCTAGCCTGAGACAGAAACCCCTGGTTCCCAAATAACACTCCTTCCTCCAGAGTCAGAGCCAGCAGAGGCCCTCTCCTCCTCTGAGGCTTAAGTAACTCCCATTTACATACATAATCGCTAGCAATTCTGCTAGGCACTATTCTGTGTACTCTACAAATGTTCACTCAGTCCTTACAACTGCATAGAGATAGGGACAGCTGTAGCCCCCATTCAACAGATGAGAAAACTGAGGTAGAGCCAGGACCGGAAGAACCAGACTTCAAACCCAGGCCATCCAGCTACAGTCTGCCTTTGTAATCAGCCCTCTCTCCCCTACTGAGGTGCTTATAGGGAGTTTGGGGGTGGAGGAGACAGTCAGGAGCACCCAGCCCTGGGCATGGCCTCTCAGCCAGCCCCCTGCTCTATAGCTGGGATGAGCCAGCAGGTCCGAAGGGCTCCAGTTACAGGAAACTGCTTATTCTGGCCAAGTCTGCCAGGGATCCTTGATTCCCTTCGTCTCAGATTCCCTGCTCAGCGCTGGCGCCCCTTGCCCACCACCCACCATCTCTACCCAAGAGCAGAGCCTCTGGCCCTAATCTCATTTGAGGCCGTGAAATCGCATTTGCAGCATATTAATGCAGCTCAGAGCTGGCCGAGCCTGCCTGTCTCCTGGAGGAGAGGAACCTGGAAAGCAATCTCACTGGGAGGCGGCTCCGGAACACCCGCGACAAAAAGCAATTATGCTTTAGAGGAAGATTAAAATAATAGCCACACCTCCCGGGCCCACCCATGGTCTGCAGCCCCACTGGGTCCCACTGTCTCCAGCAATTAGTCCAGGACTGGCTCAGCCCTCTCTCTCCTAGTGTGACCCCTCACTGGCCCCCAAACTCTGTTCCCAGCAGAAACCAAGCTCTCCCCAGCCTCTGGGTCTTCACCTGAACTGTCCCATCTGCCTGGAGCCCAGCCCTCCAACCCTCACCATTCTCCAGACACACTCATAGCTTGAGTGCTCTAAGCATTTGCTGTTTCCTTGAAATTGCTACAACTTCAGTTGAATAACCCTGTTGGGAGGACTGTCATCATCCCCATTTAGAGATTAAGAAAAGAGGCACAGAGAGGTAAACCCCAGGGCAGAAGGTGTCTGCAGAGCAGGGATATAAACTAAACCTTTACCCCTTCCTCTGGTCTTCTGGACTTGACTCAAACAGCCCCTCTCCCTCCGGGGGCGGAGCAAGGATCTGCACTCCAGCTGTGGCTATTTAGGCCACACATTTTTGCAAAGTGTCACCTGCCAAGCCAATGGGTAAGAGGGCTTGGGGGGGGGGGGGCGCGGGTCTGAGCCATGGGCAGCCCCAACCTCTTCCCAGTCCTCCTCCCAAGCCACTCAGTGCAATAAGCACCAGTTGTTGGAGTCAGCTGAACATGGCCAAGCCTGCTTCAGCTGGACTTGGTATGACGTGGGGCCCTGGGAAGAAATCCACTTCCCCAACTGTTCCCCTTTGTCCTGTCACGTTGCCTATAAAACCCTTTAAAGTATGAGCCTTCCTGGGAAAGAATGCTGCGAGTCATTCCCAACTGCTGTATCAGAAAAACCAAAGTAGACAGATGGTAGAACCTGGATCGCAGCCCGGCTTTGCTGTTGACTCAAAGGCAAGGTTTGGGGAAACCCTTCACCTCCTGTAAGGAGCTTAGTTTCTGCTCCAGAAAATGGACCTTACGAAAGGTCCCTTATTAAAGGTACCCTGCCCACCTCGCAAGATCCATAAGATGCTCCAATGGGCTTCGCAGGTCCCCGCTGCCGCCTGGCTAGAGTGGCCTGCGCTAGAGAGAGGCCCAGGACAGAAGTGAGTTGCACCACATCATGCAGCTCACAGGCAAGTGTGAAATGAGCTCTGACACTGAGTCTTTTGACGCCCAGCCAGAACTGGTGGTCTGGAGCAGACCAAGTCCCTGGTGGCCACCCAGCTCATGCAGCCTTCACTGCCCTTTTAGAAAGCACTGTCCTCCAACTGCTCCTATTTCCTCTGCCCAGCTAGCTCCCCAAGAACCAGGATACTGCAGTCTTTTTTACTCCTGCTCAAAAAGTAGATGGATGGATGGATGGAGATGGGTGGATGGATAGATGCAGCCCTGGGCTTGGGAGACTGGACTTGGACCCCAGGCAGGCTGTCAGTTTTCGACAGCCTCATCCTCCACCTTTCCGGAGAAGGGGGCTGGTCCCATGTGGTCTCAGCTGCTCCTGACTCTCAGCACCCTGCAGAACCAGGCCAGGGCTTAGTCTGGGATGTCTCAGCTGACTCTGACAGCCAGCGCCTAGCCAGGATGGGCAGACTGTGCGCTGTCAAGGCGGCTTTTCCGTTAGCCTCCCCCTCCCTCTTAGAGAGCACCATCAAAGGCTGGTTTCCTATGGGATTTCACACACACACACACACACACACACACACACACACACACACACACACCCCGCAGCACACATGCCTGTCCCAAGTCTCTCTCTCCTCTGGGGGCTGTATAGAGATGAAGCTGGGGAGATCCTTAGGAGGTGGGGGTGGGGTGGGCGCTGGTGTCCATTGGTCAGGCACTGTGAATCTATCCTGGTGTGTGGGCATGGTGGGGGTCTCCCCGCCCTCACCAATGTATCTCCACATGAGTGTCCTGTGTTCAGGACTGTCCATGCCTATTTTCAGGAATGTCTGTGGATGCACATCCACCTCCCAGAGGCATGAGTGAGGGAGGAAAGAGGGAGGTTACCCTAAAAATCCATGCTCATTGTGCCCTCCCACATCTCCTCTTCCTTCTTTCACAGTGAAGGTGATTTCAGGAGATGAGAAGGTTACTATGGGCCCCTCCTGGAGCCAGTCAGCTGGTCCTGCGAGGAGGGCACTCCCTTCCTCTGTGTCCCCCTCACCATCACTCTCTCACAAACACACACTCAACTCACTCGCTTGCTCACTGGGCCTCCAGGAGGTGTGAGTCAGCTGCAGCCCTGCAGGAGGGGTGGTGGCCATGCCATCTGGTGTGCTCACTTACAACAATCTGCTAAGGGAGACTCTTCCCAGACTAGCATCCAGGCTGGGTTCACCTCCTCCACCCCGAAACCCAGTACCCAGGCTCCAGACACAGCAGGGCTCACAAGTTCCCATCACCCTTCCCCTGGAAGCCCCCCTAGGCAAAAAGGAAGGCACAACTGTACTTTCTAGAAGCAGAAGTGAGGCCCAGACCCATCCAGCACTTGACCCAATACAGACATCCCAGCTCAGGATGAAAGCAGTGAGCACTTAGAAAGCACGTCCTGCAGGCAGGGCCAGGCATACACTAGCTCATTTCTTCATCTTCCTAGAAAGAGCGGACTTGGAAATTGTTCAGCCCCATTTTACAGATGTGGACATAGAGGCTGATGGAAATTATGTAAGCTGCACAGTCACTAAAGAAATGCCAGAGACTGATCTGAAATCAGATCCATCCGACCCCAGCTGCTCCCTATAAGTTTAAACCTCAAACCTCTAACACCCCACCCACCAGGCTCCAGGCACCAACCTCCCAGGTCTCCAATGGCATAGAGACCTTTTGAAAAAGCAGGCAGAGTGGGAGGGGGCATGTTTGAGAGAAGAGATAAATATGGGACTCCCCAATTTATGTAATTTTTGCTTTCATCCCTCTTTACCCAGCGATCTCTAGGTCCTTTAGCACCCCTGTTCCTTGGGCAGAAAGTCTTAATACCACTGAGGAGGACCGGGGGCCAGTGGGTGGCCTACGGGGTAAATGTGGTACCTATAACTAGTGGCTTTTCTCCTCCAGAGGGGGCTGGCTGTGCCTCCCACCCACGCTGCCTGGGGCCAGCCCTCCTCTCCTGCCAGCCTCAGCTCAGCGACACCCCTCCCAGGGTAGGTGACAGCACTCTCTGGGAGCGCCTTGACAGTGCCTTTGTTCCCCTGAAATAAAAGAAAATCGAGCTACAAAGAGAAACCTCAGGTAGCTTTTAACGGGGCTCAGCTGCCTGGGGCAGAGTGTGTTTAAGCTGGAGGCACTTGTCACTGGAGCAGAAGGAAGCCACCGCAGCTTCCCTCCCATTCCCTTCAGCCCGGAGTTTACTGAGGCAGAGGAGAAAAATCAATGACAATTGATAGAGAAATGTAAAGCGGCTGTCTGCCCTGTTCATGTGCACACGTGGGTATGTGCCTGT